TCTGAAAAATCCTAATGTCGCAGCTTAGAAGCGAGAATAGGAAAATAATTTTTCTTTCTGCTGAAGTCAGATTATTGTCACAACGAACTATATTGCACACATAACTTTCCTCCGGTCACACTTTTAAATGATTAAAACATTAAGTGCTCAATTTTATCACGTTTGTGGCCAAGGGTCTTTCGTCGAGTAATCCAATTCTCAAAGCCTATTTCTTAACATTTTTTACATGAGCATTATGCATATGGGACCTAAAATAACAGCTAATGAGGTTGAAAGCGGAAGCGACTCCTCAAAGTCACATCTTAAGGCTACTACATGGAACAGATCAGGCATTAATTCAGGTGTACACAATCATGTAATTCTTTTATCGGATAAGAGGGCTCTTCTTGTTCAACAAGAATCTGATATCACATCAAATCGAACACTGAAGAAACAATTTTTGAAACTAAAAACTACTCACATATTTCAGAACCAGTTATACGAAAAACAAAGATATTACTTTCTTTTCTGATTTGTTATTTTTCACCTTTTGGGTAACTGCTTGAAGTTCGGATACAATGAAATATATGAAGTTCATATATTTTAAACTGCGGTATTAGATACGTATTTGCACGATCCTCGCAGTAGATAACGCTATTTAAGCAATAGCGAAAATCAGACCTGAAAAACAAAAAAATCAGGCCTGTACGGGATTCCAACCACTGACCTCTGCGATACTAGAGCAGCGCTCTACCAATTGAGCTAACAAGCCAACTGGGAAAGTGATAAGCCCGTGAAAGTGATAAATCACTTTCACGGGTTTATTACGAATCAACTTAACGGCCTGCTCCCAGTTGGCTTGTTAGCTCAATTGGTAGAGCGCTGCACTAGTATCGCAGAGGTCAGTGGTTCGAATCCCGTACAGGCCTGATTTTTTTGTTTTTCAGGTCTGATTTTCGCTATTGCTTAAATAGCGCTATCTACTACGAGGATCGTGCATCATACATATCTAATACCGTAGTTTAAAATATATGAACTTCATATATTTCATTGTATCTGATTTATCACTTTCACGGGTTTATTACGAATCAACTTAACGGCCTGCTCCCAGTTGGCTTGTTAGCTCAATTGGTAGAGCGCTGCACTAGTATCGCAGAGGTCAGTGGTTCGAGTCCCGTACAGGCCTGATTTTTTTCAGGTCTGAATTTCGCTATTGCTCAAATAGCGCTATCTACTGCGAGGATCGTCCATCATACGTATCAAATACCGCAGTTCAAAATATATGATTTTCATATATTTATTCTATCTCAAAAGTTGCAAATAATTGAATAAAGAAACAATTTAAAACCTTTAACGATAATTTCTACAAATTCAAACAGTAAGTAACAAAGGTCAACCAAGCACGTTATTGGTCATAAACCGAGATGTCCCTCTCTCACCAGGAGAACATGATTTATGTTCTCTAGAGACTAGAACTCCTTAATAAACATGCTTTAAGAATAATCCTTAGTCATAAAGTGACCACATACGAGGTGCTTTTGGAAAGTCTAATCCTTGTGAGAAAGAAAAGACTTCTCGATATATTGATTTTAGTTCATAAATCATTTACTCAGCCACGCCTGTCTACATATCAGCATTATTTACGACTAGAACCAACATTAGTAGGCTTAGAGGTATAAACAAGTTGCATTTACCACATGTAAATACCACATCTTATGGGAAAAACTCCATGCTCTCAAGTTATGGAATATGTTACACGACGACTTAAGAACAAACACAGCATAACTTATTTTAGATACAACTTCCTATACTTTAGAAATTTAAACTTGCTAGATTGATTATTCCTAATCTTCATTTGACGGTATTGAATATATAACTCTACAAGCATATATACATCTTATTGTTCTCTTTTTCTTTTTCTTAATTAATTATACATATATCTTTCACTGTATTTATTTCTCTAAGATATTAGTGCTTATACGCTACTCTTCAATCCGAGATGAAAAAAAGTTTTACTACTCCTACTACTTCTACCCTCGAGTAGATTTACTGAAGTACGTATAACATGAACATGATGTGCACTTGAAACCATATTTCATGATCCGCCATTGCAGCTTTACTTCTGTGATATTGCTCTACAGCAGATATCTAAAACATCTTTCCAATTTCCTCAAGTAGAAATGTTTGGCATCAACAACCGTGGACCCACAAAAAGATTGGTCGTATTTTAAAACACTGCTAGTCCTGGTTCTCACAACAAAAATAAACGCAAATTTGAAAAATAAAGAATTGATCAAAATGAGGAACCGAGTTCTCGACATTTTTTTTTTGTTTCGTACTTGGCTTCAAAAACTACAATCTTGAAAAAAGGACTAATTAAAAACAGCTGAGGACATTGCAATTCGATTATAATTGAATATCAGGGTTGACAACATCCTATTCCTTTTTAAAAGAACTTCTTCAGCATTTTAAATGTTGTGTGCAACGATCACAGGAACATGGTGATAACGTCATTGAAACCAGCTTTGAAGCATTGTCGCTTTCACATATCAAACTCACGGGGTACAAATAATCTCTTACTGAATTTCGTGACCACGCCCACTTCATCGGCCCACTCAAATCGAGTGCGATTTTTGGATGTTATATCATCTTGCCGACTCTCTGTATAAAAAGTTAACAATGTACCACCGAAATATTGAACTATAATATCATGGCTTTCGATTTTGTGTATTTTCGTACTACAAAGTAAAGTTTTTCCCTCGTCATTTTCACCTTTTCCCGAGCGGGTCCGTCAAAATTAAGAAGGCGTTCGTGGTCAAAACAAGACCGAGCAAGCTTTCTCGGATAATATCGAATTTCGCATCTGTGAATGAGTGGGGCATACATCATGCGGAGGGATAAATATTTTCTTCTTAACGTTATAGCAACATACTATTGGCAGTCTTTCGGTATGGAAGCGGAAATATTGAGTGACAAAGGATTAAAACTAAGTCTGGAACGAACCAGGTTGATGGGATAGTGGTCTACTTCCATGCTTGTAGGACCATACAAGAAAAAAAAAATTGAGAAATGTAACAACCTCAATAGAAATAGAAGGTATATGCAGGCGGTTAGAAACCGGCAAGACAGAATCATGCGTGTCGCAAAAAAGTTCAGTGAAGTCTTGTTTAAACAGTTCCTACGATCAAATTGATTGCAAGTGTGTCTTCTACAGAAGTCCTCGCACCAGATCGTCTTTCCTTTCCCTCCTGAAATATAGGAGTAACTTTTGCAGATGCTGACTGTGAAGTTTCGGGAATAGTTCATCGGATTATTCAACCTGAAGATCAGCTTCTATACCAGCAAATAACCATTTTTAAAAGCATATTCGATATTGGTTATGGAGACCGCGGAAAAAAATTTAGTATCAATTTATTTATGAACTCTCTTCTATAAGATCCTAATGCTGGCAAATTGCTACGGGGGAACTAGTTTGTGATGAAAACAGATAAACTAAGGCCGAAGTAGGCGATGGACAGCAATTTTCCTCTTTGTTTCCCATCTTTTCTCGGAGGACCGTTCAAATTTACCGCCACTGGCGGGTAGACTTGAAAAGTACCTGGATGTGTCACGGCATTCTGAGCGATGAGATTAAAGTCAGACGCGCTTAAACCTCTAAAGTCGTCCACAACGCTAGCCAGCGAGACTGAAAGTTTAGTTATACAGGGAAAACAGAGGAGCCTTAAGTTGCTCGGAAAAATAAACATTTCAAAACGCTTATATGACATACATGATTGTACCCTTACAAAAGGGTCAGAACAAAGTTATTTGCTGATTTTTTGCCATCTGATTACCTTCTGGTGTAAAAACTCTTTTACCACGGCCAGTATGTAGGTTTGGTATCTGCGTGTTACAGTTGTTACCAGTGCAACATTCAATTCGACAGTTCCGTACGCTCCATGTTTTCTGAGCCTTGAGCGCACCCTCGAGAGCATAACAGGCTGCATTTTTGTCTTCAAGAAGAACAGGACAAATAAATATTCAATAAAGTGGCAAATTCAGATTTCCAACCTCTTACAAATTCAATCTCCAAGAAAAAGGAAACGAAACAAAGCTTTCGAAACATTTCTTGTCATTGCCCAAAAGTTTTCAAAGATTTTTAAGTAAAATCGTCCAATTTTCAAATGCAAGGTAGCTTTGTAAGTTTAGAACTTTTTTTACGTTTTTACTATTTTTAACCATTTTAATAATTTTTACCGTTTCCCTCTGTAGCATCAGATAAACAATTTTTATCTTGTGAAGAAATAAAGACTACTATTACTATTTACTTCGAACAAACAACAAAACAAAAAAGAAAGAAACGTCTTCTCTAGCGAGATTTGGCACCGAATCACCCAGAAACCATTTGGGAAAAGGTAACATTGTTCGAACATTAATGTCATCTTCCTACTTGACTGCATTCACTGAACGAGAGCTAAAGCATGTCTCACACTTTCTTTTGCGTTTGCTATAACTTTACTAAAAGAGTTAATGACCGGCGGCACAAGACACTAAGGAAGACTGGGTTCGAGTAAGGAACGAAAAACGCAAAATCGAGTTTCTAGTGAGTTAAAAGTGCCTCTCAGGGGAGATTAAGCTGAGATGGATTCACCTCCGCAATCAATACATCCTCTTATGAAGCCTTCATGTAGTTTGTCATTTAGGATGTCAGTCTCATTTCCATAATAAGATATTGCAACGGAAGCGCAGTGAGTGGTTCCCAGTGAGAGTGGATCTGACGCACAGGTTTGGTTTTTCTGGTTTGCAGAGCAAGAAGCTTCATCAGCTTCAATGCAGGAGTGACACTGTGCGAGGGCAGCGTCTGTCAAAGGAAAAACAAAGAAAACAAGAAAAACAAACATTCGTTAAGAAGCGACGGTAGATGAACAAACAAAGAAACAAGCTAAGCAAAGTAAAAGAGAGTGGGTCACGATTGACGACGCCTTTCTCTGAATGCAGCTCTATGTTATTCTCTCACTTGCTGGGATGAGTTCGTCTTATTCTCAGTTATGAGGGGTTACTGCCGAGCTCTGCCAATGGGACGCAAATTATGACTTACTCCGGTCGCAGCTTCCTCGAAATCAAACCAGTAAAGAAAAGGAAAAAAAATAATAATAAAAAAAAACAAACATAGAAAGGCAAAAGCAAATAAAGAAAGGAGATCAACAATAAATGAGTTAAACGAATTTCCTTTTGACATGTTGTGACCTGTCACGCACCGTCATTGGTGCAACAAAGGAAAAAGGAAATGTGCTGACTTTGGCATGACTGCCGTTTTTACACTAGACTCCCCCATGCTTCTTATATCAATTTAGGT